TGCCCAAGATCACTCAGCAAGTAAGTGTTGAGAGCAGGTTTCAAAACCAGTTCTGGTTCTTATGGTGGCGTTGGTGTTGATGTTCATGTTGTGATTGTTGATCACTCTCCCTCCGTCACACACACACACACACACACACACACACACACACACATCCATGTGTTTGAGTTTTTGTAGTGATGGAATCCAAACTGTCCTTATCTGAGCCTTCATTATGAATGGTAGATCTGAACTCATTGAGCAGGAAAACAGAGATGAAGGGGCCAAGGGAGCCAGGAAAAAACAAGGTGAATATTTAGTGGGAACTGAAATTGAAAGTTGGTTAAGGATGGACTCGTTAGCAAGACAGGTGGTTATAGAATTCCCATTCTTCTCTTCTTCCTATGAAGTTAATGTTATTTCTATTTATTTAGAGGGATTACAGTGATAAGCTCTCTTGTCACTGATTCACAGAGTTCTTATAATTTTTCATTACTAAAATCAAATATCTAATTTTGGGAGGATTATAATTTATGTGCTAATATAAAATTTAGTTTGCACTAATATCATTCTCGAAGACTGAATATACAATACTTTGAAACTCTTTCACACGATGTCATTAAATATCCACTGTCTTTAATATGTTTGATAAGCTTATAATAATAGGAAATACTGTACTTTTTTGCCATAGATCATTACAATAAGCTAAGTCTTCAGTTGTTTCATCTATATTCTTCCTAAATTGAATTTTTGAATCAAACTAAATTAAACATATAACAGGTTCTCTGTATTTTACAATCTCAATATTGAATTGAGAATATGATAAGCTATGTCACTGTGGTTTTTTGGACACAAAGAACTTTACTTGTTTTTTTATAATTAGCATAATTTCCACTCAAGATGATCAGGTTTAGAGTATAGGAAGACAGTTCTTTTAAAGGTAGTTAATTGACCTTTCACTGCTAGTATCCAGTAAGATTTAACAAGCATTTGCAGCTGCGTGGTGACATTCTCATTGCCACGTGGAGAAAGGCATTCAGAATCCTCTGGAAATAGCATTTTGCATTTGATTCTCATATATTTTGGAATGTGATTGATTTCTACTGCATGTCTTTTAAAGTAAATGCTTCCAGATAAGCAGTTATCTTAGCATTGTGGCAACATATTGATTGACTAGCATCCTTAAAATGACAAGCCAATTAAAAAGCCAATATCATTTTTCTTTCTTTAATTAACAGGTAAAGATCAAGGTTACATAGATTTAGCCTAATCTCTCAGACTTTCTGCCTTTGCAGTGTCACATAATGATAACTGCTCTTAACAGGATGGCCTGATTCTTAACCCCCTCTACATGAGGTATTGTAATATTCTATACCAAGAAAGATTCTGTTATTCTAGCAATTGGTTTTCAGAGTTAATGAGTATGTCACTGAAGATTAATGGTTTGAGTTTTTTTTACTACAAAGGAGGTGTCATTCCTTAGGGTCCACGCAGGGGTAGGGGACCCATGTCTTTCTGATTTCAAATTGTTCTTTTTTAAGCACCAAAGGAGGCAAGAAAAGCCTCATCTTTCTCTGCTGCACCCTTTTTAACAAAAGGATTTTTTATATAAAATTTGGATTCAGTCAAAAGGCAGCACTTAAGGACGAGGAAGGCCATGTTTCCTTGAGGCTGCAGGTCCCCCGGCCCTCCAGAAACCAAGGAAGATAATGCACTGCCCCTGCCCATTAACAGCGGAGGGTGAGGGAATAAGGCCACCATCCCTAGGCATAAAGATTGAGGAGAAGGAGCAGTTAAACAAAGAGAGAGCACCTCCATTGCCCAAACCTAACTGGAAGCCACAGCAGTCAATAGGGTTGGCTTCCCAAGGCTCAGAGCAGGGTGGGGCAAGGGGCAGAGTGGACCTGGAGGGAAAGCAGAAGAACTGTAGCACAGGAGAAGAGGAGATGAAACTTAACAAAATCAGTAGTGCTCAGACTACAGCAAGCCATGCTGGATTTTAGCACTGGGTCTTGACTGGAGAAAGGAAGAGAGCTCACAGGTACTGAGTGCTATTCTGGTTACTACTATTATATAACAAACTACCCTCAATTTAGTGTAGTAAAACAACCACCACTTTATTATGCTCACAGATTCCCTGGGTCAGAAATTTAGACAGGGTGCAGAGGGGATGGTGTGTCTCTGCTCCCCTGTGTTTGACACCTCAGCTAGGAAGACTCAAATGCCCGGGGTCTGGAGCCACCTGGACACTCCTTTATTCATGCAACTGGTGCCTCAGCTGGGCGATCTGAGGCTGGGCTCATCTAGGACTGTGGAACCAAGCACCTACATGTCGCCTCTCCCGTGGTGTGGGCCTCTTACACCATGGTGGCCAGAGTGTCCTGAGAGTGACAGACACAAAAGAGACAGATGAAGCCATATGGCCTTTTCTGACTTAGCTTCTGTAGTCACACAGCATTCCTTCCACATTTAGCAGTCCAAGGCCCAGGGGAATTAAACTCCATGTCTCAAAAGGGAGGATGACAAGGTCACATTGTAGAAGAGCGTGCTGAGTGGGAGAGTACTGTTGCAGCTATCTTTGGAAAATACAGCTGCCATATGCGCATTCACTAAGGCAATATGAACTAATATAATTTTGAAACATTCTGACAACAAATTATTTTCTAGGCTAAATAAAATTATATTAACCTGAATCCTCTCATTATCCTCTCATTATCCAGTGATTAAACTTTGTTTTCCCTCCATGGATTATAGATTTTAAAATGTAGGAGACACTTCAGAGGTCAACTAGTTCAGCTTCCTGCCCCCAAACAGCCTGAATATCACTGTTCTTACTGTCCCGCAGAGTAAGCCAAGTGATGCGTAGAAGGGAAAGTGGGGACTTGAACCCAGGACTCTTGGATTGATTTGTTTGTTTTATTTATTTAACCAGAAATTGATAAGAAATGAAATAAGTTAAATTTTACCAAATGAGCACACACACATCAGACTTGAAAAGAAGCACCTGGCCAGGTATTGCTTCCTGTAACACCAGAGAAGGCCACCTAGTGGGTTGGAGCCCCATCATTGGAAGATTTGGGCTTAGCTTGTGATCTGTCATATACAGGAGCTGTCATATGCAAGAACGCAAGGGCTGGGAGGACAGGGCCATTAATGTCCGTGGAGAAACTCTGACTTATCGTTATCAATTTTCCTGTTTGCACTCGATGATATCTGCCTGACCAACCTATCCATTCATCTCATTTCTGGTCCTGTGGATGGACCCATGCAATGTGATTAACTCTCTGAAGGGGACTTTATGTAAGGTTTTGTGCCCTTCTAGAGACAAGAGTACTGAGCACACTTATCTTTGCTGTTTGTGTATAAAACAGCTACAAGCATTTTGGAAATGTTTCCAACCTGTTTGAATCACCCAACCATTTCTTTTTATATTTCGACATCAAGAATTTGGCAAACTAGTCAAGCTTTAATGAAACTTCTAAGCAGCTAAAGTTTTTCTTTTCCCCATTCTACAATGGCAGATACATGTCGGCTTCTCTGGCGTCAACCATGCCGGTCTCTATCCCACTGATGTTGTCTGTTAGTTAAGAAAGCCTGAGTGGTTGAAAATTTACCTGTCTCTTCAAAAAAGAGAATGTTCTCAAAAAAATATTGTTGGTTCATTTCAAAGTATCTACTTACTGTTTTGCAACTCCCTCTGGCCATTTTTTAAGTGACAAGATGCCATGTGGCATCTGGGTGTGTAAACTTGCTTGAAGGATTCAGCTGGAACGAGTCCCTGCCAAGGCAGTGTGAGGCGATGGGTGGCTGGACAGCTGGCTCCAGGTCAGTCCTGCCAGCTGTGTGGCTGTGGGGAAGCCCCTGGGTGTCCTCGGCAGTCCAGTAAAAGAGACCGGCTTATTGGCCTGCTCAGGGCCTTTCCTGTTCTGGAGTCCATATGCCAGTGAGCCCACTCAAGGCCCAGATGTCCTGAGAGCTCAGGGTGGCAGCCTCGGTACAAGCAATCCTGATGGCTCTGTCCCGCAGGGGTCTCCATCTTCATTGTCCCCACCCGGTGTTCCACGTGTAACATTGAAGCACTGGCCCTTTCAGAGAGATGCTGACTCACTTCCTCACTGCCCTGTCACCTCCCAATCCATGACCTTCTAGCCACTCCTCTAAGTTCTCCTGCTGTGATGTCCTAGTGAGCAAAGCCAGTGGTTCTTTCCCTTTCTCAACCTATGCGACTTCACTGTGCCTCAGTTTCTTCATCTGTCAGATAACGATAGTGATAGTGTTGACCTCATTGGGTGGTTGTGAGGTTTTGGTTAATTATACATCATAATAAATAATGGATAATACATTACTTATATAGACACACACACACACACACACACACACACACACATGCACAGCTTAGAACGGGGCCTTGGACAAGGCTTTGTTTGCCTGTAGACCTTGCCACCCTCTGCATGTGTATCTTACTTACATTATCTACCTGGTCTCTGAAGGCATTATGATGATCAATCTTTGTATATCAAAACACTGTATTTTAAAAAAACATAACATTTCAAACTTCACAATATTATTTTTAATTTTATTCCTGTCTTTCAGAGTTTACCAACCTCAACTAATGTAAAGGTCTCTGTCTCCCTTATTCTTTGATTAAGGTAATAATATAGCATTGCCTGGTAACAACTGCTGATGATATCTACTTTCATTATTTAGACCTCACTTTGTTTCCTATTGGCATGTGTGTTAGTCTTGTCTCCACAGCTGGATTGTAATCTATGGAATAGATTATATAATCTACCTGTAAGACCTGCAGTCCTTCCTAAGCAAGATCTCCTCCACCTGTTGCCAGCTGCAGCATGAGGGTGAATAGCAAGAGGTCCTCAATCTTCATCCCTACTTTAAAAACCAAATAACTTTTGAACCACTTTCCTATCAACGTGATCACTTGACATGATCAGGGCCTCACCTGACCATGAACATGTGGGCTCAGGATCCAATATGTGTGAATCTTTCTGTCCGATCCCCAGGTATCCGCCGCCAGACTGCCCATTGCATAAAGAAGGGTCGTGGGATAGTGAAAGCTACATTCTGTGACCCAGAAATGCAGCCCAATGGGAGACAGAAGAAGTGCTATGAAAAGGCTTGTCCGCCCAGGTAACGATCGCTGACAGCTGGAGCTCTGTGTGTCTGCCTACAATGATGTCTGATTCAAGGGTAACCAAATGCTTGCTGATAAGGAGATCTATGCAGTTTTGTTAGAATAAATACAAGAGATCTGTTGGAGGTTTCTGTGGCTATGCTATTGGAGTCTGTGGCAAGCGGTGAGAACATTTTCTCTCAAGAGCAGTACTTTTCACAAGTTGATGTGTTTTGTGTTTAATAATTTGGTAAGACTAAGTCCCAAAGCCTTGTTGAAGAGAAAGCTATGTAGATCACACAAATTTTGTTTAACTAACGGGTTTGGCTTTTCCAAGAGCACTTAACCAGCACAACGGTAGCCTTTGGATGATACGTTGGCACCTTTGGGTCACAGTGCCCACTTGTACTCCAGGCTGCCTGAGAGAGTGGGCTTATAGAGCAGGCTTTCCCAACCTTGGCATTATTGGCATTTGGGGCTGGATGATTCTTTGTTGTGTCGGGCCGTCCTGTGAATTGTAGGATGCTTAGTAGCATCGCTGGCTTGTATTTACTTAGATGGTAGTAGCACCCCTTTCTCCCCATCCAGGTTGTAACAACCAAACATGTCTGCAGACATTGCTAAATGTCCTCTAGGGGGCAAAATCACCCATGGTTGAGAATCACTGTTATAGAGATACTCATTTGATAACCACATTCGTTCAAGATATTGGGATCCTAAAAGGTATCTGGGATGTTATTATGAGGGACTCATGTTAGAGACAGAGAGACAGAGAGAGAAGAAGGAGGAGGAGGAGGAGAAAGAGGGAGGGAAAGAAAGAGGGAGAGAAGGAGAGAGGGAGGGAGGAAGGAAGGAAGGAAGGAAGGAAGATAGGAAGATTGGAAGATTTCTGGATAGAGTCTTCGTTCTCTAGTGACCTTAAACAAGGATGTATTTAGGTTACAGATTCCATCAGATGTTTACTCAAGTTCTAAGCAGACACACTAAGAGGAGTTTAGTTAAACAAGAGGGGACTAGTTGGTATAAATCAAGCCGGTGACAGGTTGGATTCTAAAGAAGAGCTAGAATGTGCTAAGTGCCAAAGAACTAGGTAAGAAAGAAGAGTCAGACCAAGTGAGTTAAGGAAAGCGATGTCAGTGTCTTAGAGTTTCAAATAGGCAGAGCCCAGGGGCCAGGGAGTTCCTATCTCAGAGTCAGAGGTTTGTTCTCCATCCAGTTCTGCGATTTCTTCTGGGTAAGAGGCGGCTGTGAGGTCCAAACCTGGACCCCACTCTATCAAAGCAGGGCAGAAGTGCTGTGATCACCTCACCTTGCTGTAGCTCTTTCCTGTGACTCTTTTGCTGGGAAGAACGAGGAACGTCAAGGGAAGGTTTCTGTTGCTATGCCATTGGCTCCAATTCGCCAACAGGGCTAACAGCCGCACTCGGTTTCGTATGTAATCACAGTTACTATTTTACCTTCTCAGGGAAGCATGAGCCAGGAAAGAACCTTTCCTAGAACTGATTAATCGCCCACTTCTCCACGGGGTTCATGTACTTCCATAGTACCTTCCTCAAAGTTAACGAGCATCTGCCGATAATTTCCTTTGCATTCCTTACATTCTTACCTCACTTTAAAACCACACTCTCTGTTGGATTGGCTATATTCTTAAGAACACAGCTGTTTCTTTGAACTAATTTTATCCCTGGGGTTCACATTCTCATTTTTATGGTTTTACGTAGTCTGCCTTGCCCTCCGTGTGACCAGCAATTAACTGCTGAGCACCTGCCGTTTCCCACGAGAGATGCAATGGTGACAATAACAAAATAACAGTTACCATCCACTGAGCACCTACTTCACTCTTGGCCACATGTTGAGAAACCTTATATATTCTCTTTCTTGTTCCCAACTACCCAGAAAGATTATTATTGTGCCAAATTTCCAGAGGAAGAAATGTTTGCCAGCTTGCTCAATGGCATGAAACGACTAGGCGTCAGAGATCTGAATCCAGGGCTGTCTGTCTGTCGTCTCCATCACACTCGGCAGGCCTCCCAAGAGAAGCATTCACTTCCCACCTTATCTGGGCTGTGTCTGAAGGGAGGCAAGCGCTGAGCGAGATGCGATGAGCTCCAGTGATCCTCCTGCAGGCACTCACCTGTTGAGGCCCAGGAAGAGCTGGGGACATCGGCCACGTACGTCACAGCAGCACAGTCAGAGAAGACTGTGGATTCAGTGTCAGCTCCCTGTTGTAGAACAGACATCAACCTGTACCTGACATGTTCTTGTTCACCTGTCCCTGAAAACCTAGTCTCACTATTTCCAGACTTCACTTCCCTTAAAGTGGTTATCTTTACCTACCTCTATACTCCAATTACCAGAACTTTCCAGCTGGAGGAAACCCTCTAATAAAATACAGCTAGATTGTTGGAGGGAAATGGCTGTTGGGGCAAGAACCCAGAGGCTGGAGGACAGGAGATGACCTGAGGCTAAAGCTCGATGCAGAGGCAGACCCAGAGGAGGAGCTGGATAAAGACATTCTTAAGAGATAAGGGCCAAGCTCTGTGGACTTGAAGTCGGCCAGAGTGCATAGTGGTAGGCTGAAAAATGGCCCCCAAGATAGCCACATCCTAATCCCTGGAGCCTGTAAATGTTACCTTTTTTGGAGAAAGAGTCTTTGCAGATGTGATTACATTAAGGGTCTTGAGATGAGGAGATTATCCTGGATCATCCATGTGGTCCCTAAATGTGGTCACAAGTCCCTGTAAGAGAGAGGCAGAGGAAAGTTCAGCACACAGAGGAGAAGGTGATGTGAAGATAGAGCAGAGATTTGAAGACGCTGGCCTCGAAGATTAGAGGGATGTGGGCACAAGCCGTAGTGTGCTGGCAGCCACTACAAACTGCAAGAGGCACCAAAAGGAAGCATTCCCTAGAGCCTCTGGAGGGAGCACAGCCCAGCAGGCACCTTGATTTCAGCCCAGTAATGCTGATTCTAGATGTCTGGCCTTCAGAGCTATGAGAGACTACATTTCTGTTGTTGAAAGTCACCACGTTGGAGTAATTTGTTATAGCAGCCACAGGAAACTAAAACAGGCAGCTTAACGCAAATGTGATGTAAAAGCCAGGGAAGGGCAAAGGAGATCCCTCCATCAGCTCACAGAAGGTTCAAAGCTTGGAAAACTGTACGATTAGGGTGTCCATAGGGTGTGTGGCAAAGGATTTTTTGGAAAGGCACAAATATATCACTCCCTAAAGAAGCGTACAGTCAGGAAGGCAAGATGAGATCCATACACACTGGCAGAGTGAGGCTGTTGTCCTCATGTCAGGGACCAGCAGCCGGGTGTCTGGATCCCTCGCCCAGGCCCTGCCTCCTGGCTGCTGTGGTCCCTGCCCTTCCTGAGGCTTTGTGCTCAGCTGGCATCTCTTCATCTCTTGCCTCTGAGAGCAGCATGTTAGAGAGAGATACATGATAATCTTTTCTGCTGTGATGCTTCTTAAGCTGAGCACACAGATGTAGCTTGTTGATTCAGAGCAAAATCTTGAAATGAACAATTACATAACCTCCCTCTCACAAAACCAACAATGAAGCCCTGGCAGTCAACATGGAGGTGCTGACGGCCACAGACATCAGCTGGGCCACCAGACAGCCACATGTGCTCCTAACTATGCAAACGTGACGTCCAGTGCCCAGCTCTCCTTGGTGAGCTGATGACCACTTCTACAGCTGCCATCTCGGCCATTCTATAGTCAGCTTCAGGGCCGGGAAACAACCCATCCTGTCCCCCAGCTTCTGCTGTTGTGTTGGAAACAATGTCCTCCAAACGATCGGAAGCATTTACTTAAGGAAGAAGAACAAAGCATAAGTGACTTGACAACTCTTTCTAAAACTTTGTCATGCAGTAGCATTTTTTTTTTTGCTTTGATTTAAGCTACTCTTCCCATGGCTGGTATCTATTTCCCAAGGTCTGAGTTTCTTTGAAGCTATTTCTGTACATGATTAATATCTGTGCCCTGGTTTGTGGTATTAAAGATCAACAAATTTAGCAAATAAAGCCTAAATTCACCCAGTTCAAATCTCAAGCTAAAGACACAGTCTTCAGAAAAAGATATTAATGATCTCAATGGTGTTTTCTTGAACACCAAAAGTAAAATGTTTGCCCTTGTTTTTGTTTTACTCAAGGTGGTATATACATGCATGTTACACACACGTACACACATATATACACATATATGTACACATTTATGTTTAAAGTCTATAATATCTGTATTTAAGGGAATACTTGACCCCAGGTAGCTAATTTTATTGAAATTTTATTTTAAAAATTTCTTTTATCTTTATGCTGTATGTAGATATAGATATAGATAGATACATATTCCTTTCTCTGAATCCATGTTTGTTTATTTAATTCATCTGGACTAAAATATGGACTAAAACCTTTAGCAAAAGTAACAATTACAGAGTCTCATATGGTGATTCTATTGTGCAGTCCATTTTTGTTGAAAGAGATAAGGCTCTCCAACTTGGTTAAGATTTTGACTCCTACAAATATTAACTAAATATAAGACATACAGGTACAATTTCTAAAAATTCATTCTCAGGTAGGATATGATAACCTAAATAGAATTCCATAAAACATTCAAACATAGTGGTTAATTTACAAAAGCCCTGCTTATATATGATTGTATTTTAGCTTCTGCAAATATTTATGAAGTAGTCAGGTGACAGAGGGTGGTTATTATCCCCAGGGGGTATAAGAGGAGTTAAAGATTCAGAGAAATTTGATGCCCTGCCCTAGGGAATAAGGCTGGAAAGGAAACTAGCAATTCTTAAGAACCCACGATTTTCCAAGCCCTTTCTATATTGCCATATCATTTCATCCTGTGAGCAGCCCTGTTTGGTAGATATTTTTATGCTCATTGTATAGATGAGGATTCTAAGGCCTTCATAAAAATTTTCCGAGGTGACTTAGCTACAAGTTCTAGAGTCTGGGTATGATCCCGATGTCTGCTGAGAAGGCTCTGCTTGTGCTGCCACACCATGCTGCTGCCCAGGATCTCAGGACAAGCAGGTTTCAGGGCTAGAACCAGAACCCCCCAAATTTAAAATATTTCTTTCACATTAAAACACAATGAAAATGTTACTAACAAGTAGAAAAGTCTGACTCCGAAGTAAGTCATGTATTCATGCATGCAAATTTACAAAGTGATTTAAAGGAATTTAATTTGCTTATTTTTTAGAGACAGGGTCTCACTCTGTCACCCAGGTTGGAGTGCAGTGGCACAATCAGAGCTCACTGTAACCTCAAACTACTGGACTTAAGGATCCTCCTGCCTCGGCCTCCCAAGTAACTGGGACTACAGGCATGTGCCACCATGCCCACATAATTTTTAAATTTTTTTGTAGAGACAGAGTCTTCTTATGTTGCCCAGGCTGATCTTGAATTCCTGGCCTCAAGTGAATCCTCCCACCTCGGCCTCCCAAAGTGCTGAAATTACAGTCATGAACCACCATGCCCAGCCTGCTTTTTAAATAATAAATAAATAATAAATGAAGATTGCTCTGTTATATTATTTGTTTTTGCAAGCTTACTCTAGTAGTTTTCTTGTATATGAATTTCAAGTTGCAATGTCTTCCTTTGTCATCTAATTTCTATGATATCTGAAAAGTTCATACCCATCATTCAGAGCTGTCCTTTTCCATCCCAAAAGAACATCATGTGCAAGGTTTAATTTTTTTTTTCTAGGTCATTTTTCTCCAGTAATATCTTATTTTTACATCCAACTTCAACATTCTGTGTTCTTCCCCAAAGGAGTATTCAAGACAGATTTTTCTAAAGATTTAATGAAAGGTTCTGATTATCTAAACATAAGAAATATGTATTACATGGCCAATGGCTTTCTGGAAGAAAGCCCGGCATAGCATGTTCCAGGATAGGGTAGCCTGTCAAGAAAGAAATTCTTTGGAATTAAAGTGTAGCTGGCTCCACACAGAGGTCATTTGAGTCTCTTCTCCCTCCTGACTCCTCTCTGAACTTTGGCTCTGAGCAAAACAAGGCTCTTCTAGGCAACAGCTGTGATGGTGCCCAGCATATCCAAAGTGCTCAATAAACATCTGATAGCGATTCATTCAACTCTGGCAGCTGCATGTAGGTTTCAGTGCACAAAAGAATGGCATATGATTTAAATCAAGGTTTCTCAACCACAGCACTATTACCACTTTGGGCTGGATAACTCTTTGTGCGGGGAACTATCTTGTGCATTGTCAGAGGTTTAGCAGCCTCCTTGGCTTCTACCCCCTGAATGCCAATAGCAACCCCCCCACCCCCACCATTTGTGACAATGAAAAATGTTTTCAGACATTCTTAAATATCTTCTGGAGAGGGACATGTAGGAATCTCCACTGCCTGTGAATTTCTGATCTGAATGAAAGGAAGACTGGGAAAAGCTCATGAAAGAGGAGAGAGGACCAAGTGGGGGTGGGAGGCAGTGGATGGAAAGTTACTAAGAGGAAACCTCAGGGGGATTCTGGCTAAATCAAGTTACAGGATTCCTGTTGAGACAGGCCAGGGGATCAGACACCACCTGAGGGATAGGGCTGGATGAGGAACCCGACCAGATATCGAGGGTGATCAGATATCAAGAGTGGGAGTTCTTGCCAAACCGACTTAGCAGTGTTCTTTGATAAAATGGGATTGCACAAGAAAGTGCACAGATGGGCCTGGGAGAGGGTTCAGGAGCCCGACTAAAGTTTAGCCAAGCAGAGAATCTTTGTCAGTGTCAACAGCATTCTTGTAAGAGAAAGATCAATGGCAGAAACAGAAAAAGGCATGTGAGGTTGCTGTTAATTCTGGGTTGACTAAACCAGAGAAATTGTCTTGTTGAGGGAGAATAAATGTTTGGGCTGGGTCTTTTGTTTCACTGACAAAATATGTGGTCCTTACATTTGCATCTTATATTGCCCTTCTCACCAATCACTCAGAGCACTTTGAAAGTTTTCTGTTATAAATCTGTAGATATAAACATAAAACTCCTATGAATATAAAAACAACATTCTGTTATAAATATCCTAGAAATCTGCTAGAAGAGGTGTGATTATGGCAGACACCCAAAAGAATGAGATGAACAACAGAGAATTTGACCATGGCTTCTGAGTCCTATGCCCACAAGACCTTTTCAGGGGGAAAAAAAAAGATGGTTTTTCACTTTAAACTAGTGACAAGCTTTCTTAGTCCATTTTGTGCTGCTATGCCAGAGTACCACAGACTAGGTAACTTATGAAGAACAGAAATTTATTTCTAACAGTTCTAGAGGCTAGAAGTCCAAGATCAAGGTACCAGCATTTGATCTGGTGAGGGCCTTCTTTCTGCATCCTCATGGCAGAAGGCAGAAGGCAGAAGGGCAGCAGAGGACAGACATTGTGTCCTCACGAAGAAGAGTGAAAAAGAGGGAACCCACTCACAAAGGCCCTTTTTATAGCAGCCTTAATGAGGGTGGAGCCCTCATGACCTAAACACCTCCCATTAGGCCTCAACTCCCAACCCTGTTGCACTGGAGATTAAGTTTCCAACACACAAATTTTGGGGAACACATTCAGACCATAGCACAAGCACATGCAAAATGTCCCCCAGTAGACTGCAAAGGAAACTCCAGGAAGAGAAAACAGGAAGTTCCAGTATCACTTGTGGGTAATTAGATGAGTTAGCCTTGCAGTCAGCTCAGATTGAGGCCGTTTTAGAATAGCATTTTATATATTCCCTTGGCCTGGCCTCCTTTGGAAAAGTCAGAAATAGGACAAAATAATTAGATTAATACAGAGGGCATTTATTTAGTTTCACATCATACCGTTCCAATATTAGCTCTTTATCCACAGATGTTAAACACAGAAGAATAAATAATCTTAACTACTTATTAACTGGAGAATATGATAGAATTGTGGAATAGCTTTCTTCTGATGTTTTTAACTTGAGATTAAAAGTATGAGAATCAAAAGAAGTTCTACTTAAATCAATCCAATATTTAGTAAACAAAAATGATAGTAAAAAGTTTGTCTTCTTCAGAATTACCCAAATTCAATACTATCTCAAAGTCAGGAGGCTTCCTCAGTAATGAAGGACTTCCCATGGTGTACTATTTTCCCATGAAAAATAGAAATGTCCTACTTTGTCACTACATGAAGGGATGAAGAATCAGCCTATACATAAAGCAATGGTAGGTCCAAACCACACTGGGTAAAGACACTTTTTCTGTCTTCTGTGTTGGGGAAGATTTGCACAATGATGGCGAAGGGAGGCAAGAGAGGGCTTCCAAGAGGGCTCCCTGCCATTTTCAAAAGCCACTTCTTATGTAACCAGTGGGCCCACATCCTAGAATCTTGAGTCAAACATTCATGATAATGGGGTAGAGAAAAGACACACATAGCAGTTTTTCCACTGGTAAATATCTAAAATATTAATTTCGCCAACAGTCTCAGCTGTTCAACTTGTCAAGAACAGCTGACCAATAAGAGATTATCTTATTTAAGTTCCTTCTTTTTCCAGTTCTTTTTTATCAAAGAGATCAGTGAAAATATTAACAAATTACCTGCAGGAGATAGGGGGAAAAATGAAGGCCATCCTCTTGATTGATAATCTCCTAAATAATTTAAATATTAGTGTTTACGTGCCTGCTTCACATTGAAATAGAAAAACATTCAATTCAGAGCCAGGAGACCTAGAGTCTAATTGGATTCTTTCACTCCATAGCAACAGTCAAAATCACAATAAATCATAACAGATGATTGAGTTCTTATCATGTGTCAGGCTTTTGACTGTGCACCTTACATGAATTGCATTTCATTTAATCCGCTACATTCATATAAAGTCGATATTTTTACACCCATTGAACAGATGAGGAAGTGAGGCTTATACTTGCTTGAAGTTGCACAGAAGAAATCTTGACCTCGATTTTCTTGGCTGAAAAGAGAGGGTGTGTATGTGTGTGTGTATACGTATATATATAAAATATATAATGAATATATATATTCATTTAAAAACATGCATATTTAACAACTACTTATGCCAGGTGTTCTACTGGGCTCTAGAGCTCTGATCGAACGAGTGGCCGTGGCGCCGTCTGCAGCACGCCCCCTAGCGGGCTGGGGCGTCTGCAAGGGCCTCCTGGCTCTGTACTCCGCGCTTCTGCGCCTGCTCTTTCCAGTGGTTGAATCGAATGTGTATGCACTCATGGTGACCTTCTCTGACATGCCCACGTCTGTCTGTAGGTGGTGGGCAGGGGAGTGGGAAGCATGTTCGGCCACATGTGGGCCCCATGGAGAGAAGAAGCGAACGGTGCTGTGCATCCAGACCATGGGCTCCGACGAGCAGGCCCTCCCGCCTACCGACTGCCAGCACCTGCTGAAGCCCAAGACACTTACATCCTGTAACAGAGACATCCTGTGTCCGTCGGACTGGACGGTGGGCAACTGGAGCGAGGTGAGCGCAGGGGCCAGAGGGGAAACTGGCATTATTCACGCTTCAGCAGTACCCCCACCCACCCACTCCTCCGCATTATCCAATCCAAAGTGACCCTACCTAGCCAGGTAAAATTGCAAAAATGGTCAGCGTCCATCACCTCTGGCATGTTTCCTGCATTTCCCACCACCCAGTGCTTGTTTTGCATTCATACAGGATCTTGTTCTCACTTGTCCGGTGGTTCTCTAACTACATGACAGGGATTGGTATACCCCGATGGTATAAGCTCAGGACAACTAATTGGTAAATCATCAGAATTCTTGCTGGGTCCATTGTTAAACCATTGGTAGCAAATCAGAGCTCCCTCACCCACCCCAAAAGTGGTTTGTTAAACATTAGCCAGCACATCACTGTAGTTAGCTAAAACCAAAGAAGTGTTGCTCTAATGGTGGAATGATGGTAAAACATTAGGCACTCAGAGGAATTCCCACAGATTGACTGTCTGTGCAGCATGCGTCAAGGCCAAACCCACCCAAGGTTCAGGACATCTACTATTATTAGCTACGTAAATTCAAATAAGTACTGCATTTTCCCAAAATCAATTTGATATAATTCTCTGAGTATAATTATAAATTAGTAAGCTAGAAGGTTATGAAAAACCCTGAGGCTTTAATTTTCTTTGGGTCACTGTGGAACCTGGTTCAGTCAGGCTTTGTTGTGTTCCTGGAGTGATTACTGGAAGTAAAGCTTTTTTTTTTCCCAAGAGCCCGGGGCCCCAGCTCTGCTGCCCTATGTGCATTTCAACCAATGGCCTAAGAAATGACTAGAAAATAAATATTTTTTCAAATTAACAGGCCAGCATTTAGAGATGAATGCTGGCTTCATCTTATGAGCTTCTTTGAGAAGCCACATACTTTCCATCACAATGCTGCCATTGACCAGAATAGTTTAGGAACTTCTCTGAGGACTCAGCTTCAGAGAAAACGGAAAATATTTTATTCAGGAGAATGCCATCAATTAGAACTAAATCTGATGGATAAGTGAGTAATGTGATCAAAACCTTTGTGTTTAAAAAGTAATATTTGATTATAAATAAGTGAGATTGCTTTTCATGTATAACTTACAAAGTTTCTCTGAAAGTACTATGAGTCTGAAGAAGAATTCTAAAATGTGTACAAGCAAAGGCACCATCTCTAAACATACCTATTTGAAAGCAGAACACTCATTTGAATATGGCAACTAATATAACCTTATTTCTGAGACTCTTTCATTTGTTCACAGTCACAGTTTAGGTTTATTTAGCTTCTAATTCTGTATAGGATGCTCTCTTGAACATAGGTGAAGATAAAAAAAGAAATGGAAAGTATGGTCCCTAGATTATAAGGATTTCCTATCAAATAGGAGAGAAAGGACCCTGAAAAGGAAAAGAAAGGAAAGCAAAGGAAAGACAAAGGTAGCCTGCAAAGAAAATATACCTACACACCACTACAGGTGTATTGCTGAGCCGTGCACCGAAGTGTGTGCACACATCAGTGACAAGCTGAAAATTCTCCCTGCTATTCCTGGGGGTGGGAATAATCACAGCATGTGGCCTGGCCACAACCTAGATTTCTGTAAATTACAGTGTTGTCAAAATAAGGCTGAATGGGATATTGTGACTGGTCTATTAAATCTATTTACCAAAAATGTGTTGGCTGCAATGAAAACTGTTAATAATTTTTGTCATGTAGAATCTACTAGTTGTAAGAGTGTTAATGCTATTTCAGAGGACTGCAATCACAGATTTGGCTGAGAGTTCTTCTTATTGTGTTCCTGTTTATGGGGAGCATAATAACCTATCTTCACTGGAGAAAAGGAGCCCAAAAGTTGGCGTGATGTGGCAAGTACTTGTGTGCGTGGTTCCACACACAGGCCATTGCATAGTTGATGGACAGCACCTGCAGAATCCAATTTCTGGCTTCCACTTGACAGCACTGAGCAGGAAGGCTGAGCTGATATCTTCTTTTAGGAGATGTTATTAGGAGAAGTGCTTTTAGTTAAATCAGCATCCAAATATTCATCAAATAGGTCCTCCTTTCTTTCCTGTGCTGTCTTACTAACGACCTTCTAATGAGCCTTGCTAGAATATGATGCTATGTCTTTCACATTCTAACTATGCCCAGATACTTTTTTAAGAGTGATGATACAGTGATTCTTCGTACCCAGTACTCATCATCTGGATTTTGTCTTGAGACCACCATTATTTGGTGCAGGGTGTTGCTCTAGCAATCATTTGATCTGCACTGAGTAGTTTGGGTCACCCTGGATGAATCTGAAGCTAGAAGGCACCTGGGCGGAAAGACCCAAGAATTGAGAGCCTTCTAGAATCCTATAAAATGGTCCTCCCTAGGCCAACCAAGGTGGGAAGAAAGAAGGAAGGTAAATTCCTGAGCTGCTCTTCCCTATCAATACACTTCCACCAACCCAAACCGTGAGGGGAGGGTGAGCTCGGCCATGCCAGACTGGTACACTCCCCCATCACCCAGCCGAGACTGGGAACTGGAGGGCTTTCCTGCCCCCTGTGACCAGGCCCACCCCTCTTAGCTCACACTGTAGACACCGGACTCCCATCCCCATTCTTGAGTTCCAACAAGATTTTTATCCTGCTTTTGTCCAACCTACTTTCTGGGCTAAGAAGGTAAAGAAGGGAACTGTATTTGTTATAAATAAAGACCAGGCATCAAAGTTTCTGTGGCTCCCATGCTTCCTAGGTACACCACTTCAGTGGCATGACTTGTGAGAGGCAGCCAGTCTTATACTGAAGGGCACAGCCCCAGAGCATGGCTCCCTGGGTTCAATTGTTTGTATGTGGCAAGCGCGAGACCTCCAGAAACCAGGATGTGTGTGTGTTCGTTTATACGCAGTTTCTCTTTACAAAGCCATTTCAGGCAGTTTACAATAAAAAGGCTCTAGACATTGAAGTGGTGAAATAGAAGTCGCGGCCATGACTGGGAGCAAAGAGCAACACGCTGAACGTGAACATCACAGTAAGGCCGCTGTGATGAAGGCTTCAGTCTAACCCGGAGCATCTGGGCAACCATAATTCTTTCCATCTGATCTATGGAAGGGTACCTCTTCTTGAAGAGACATCCCTGGTGTGATAAATCACCAAAGTTATGTGAAGTTTTTAATAATGGCTCCAAAGACAAAATTAGACAATGGTTCAGTCAGATGCTTGGTAGGAGCTGTGCCATCTTTTTCTTTGGATAGATGGATGGATGGATGGATGGTTGGCTAGATGGATCGATGGATAGATGGATGGATACCAATGAAAGCACCATGTAGTTAATAAACGTGTGGTTTTGTGCATCCTGGGCAGAAGAGGAAGTGAGAAGAATCCTAGCTGAGATCCCAGAGAACCATCTGGGTTCTAATCTTGTATTGCATAATCTCATGTACAGTCTTAGGAAAATGACTTCACCTTACAGGGCCTGAGTTTCCTCAATGATAAACCAGCATTTCTCCTGATAACTAGACTAATAGACTTAGTGGGACAGTAATTTTTCTAGATTTTCTATCCCTGGAAATCTCTGATTGCATGGCCATGAGCTAGTGTTAATTCTCTCTCAGCTTTTTGTCATTGAGAAAGATAGGGTTATTGTAAGAATTAAATAAGACAATTCATGTAAGCACGTAGCATAGTGCCTTGCTAATAGTAAGTCACTAAATGGTAACTTTATTATCAGGCAAGAAGATGAAGCTTACTCTGATTTTGCAAACTTTGTCCAATCAGTGGTACCCAAATGTGCTGAAGGAATTGATCTGTGGTCCCTGTCTGAGCTCAGGACCATTTTGTGCATGGAACACTGAAAATACAGTGCTTAGGTCCTGCAAGTTTTTCTAGGGCCTGCAAAATTGTTTGAGACCTGAAAAAAACTCATATGTTGCTTTCATAAAAGCAAAAGGACACTTCAAAATCAGAAGTCAATATTTAATTACATATTAATAGCAAATATTTATTGGGCATTTAATATATATCATTAGTATGTATTATGTATATATCTATTAATTATCTGTATAGGCATTAATGCATTTAATCCTCACAATGGCCTTATTAGCCCCATTTTACAGATGAAGAAACTGAGGCAGAGAGACATTTAAAAACTTGTCCAGGGTCACACAGCCACCAAGCCATGGAGCCAGGATTTGAATGCAGGCAACAGAGCTTCCACTCTGAACACTCATTTGCATCTCAAATGTCTGCAAAATGTAGCAATAGGATGGCTCTTAGAATTCCTAATCTACTCTTCCTGTGCTACACACACACACACACACACACACACACGTGTGTGTGCACAAGCAAAATGATCAATTAAAGAAGTTACTGAGACTCTATTGAGTTCGAAGCTGTTCACCAGGGTGTTGGAAGGCACAGTGACCTAATAGACTAAATGACAATTGTCTCAAATGAGCAGGGAGGGCTCTTCAGATGATGTCATGGCAGCAAATATTGTTAGCAACACCATGTTTATTGCTAAATGAGAAGCCAAGCTAAGCTTGTGTGAAGTCCCACAGGACTTTGTGAAGTTCCTACAAGGAAGAGAGAGCACGGGGGCATAGGAGACATTTTTGAGAGTCAATGACCCTCTGGTATCCCCCAGTTTCAGTTAAGGTCCCAGGCACCCCTATGAAGCTGGCCACCTGATGTTCTGACCCTGATCGCCCCCTCTTGGCATGGGATGTCTGTAAGTGCCCATATCACAGCTCTTCCCAGGTGCCAGCATTCTATTCTCTGCCAGGGTTTCTGGAGAACACACAGGGGCACCTTTGTTTGAAACAATTACTCACAATCAGTTGGAAGCCATGTTGATTATTATTATTTTTTTTAATTATCTAGACTACTGTATTAGTTTCCTAGGGCTGCCCTAACCCACAGACTGGATGGCTTAAACCACAGAAACGTACTGTCTCACAGCTCTGGAGGCTGGAAATCCAAGATCGAGGTGTCAGCAGGGTTGGCTCTGTCTGAAGGCTGGAAGGGAGAATCTGTTCCATACCTTTTCCCAGCTTCTGTGGTTTGCAGTCAATCTTTGGTGTTCCTTGGCTTGTAAATTCATCACCCCGATCTCTGCCGTCCTCTTCATGTGGCATTCCTCTCTGTGTCCAAATCTCCCCTTTTTATAAGGACACCAGTTATATTGTGTTAGGGCCCATCTAATCATCTTATTTTCACTTGATTACCTATAAAGATCCTGTCTCCAAATAAGGTCACATTTTGACGTTAGGGGACATCAGGACTCTGACATATCTTTTTTTGGGGGGGGGGGGACACAATTCAACCTATTAACAGATACCTAAGTGTTTTAGCCTACTTTCAAAGCTAGTTTTAGCTTGAGATCCAATCATTGATTTATAAATTCCTAAGATTACATTAAACATTTTCATTCCCCAAACAGTACAGTATTAGCTGTTTGCTCTACTCAGTCCTTTAGCCTGGACCCTCTGATAAACTGCAACTGTATTTTTGAGTAAACTCTCTCTCAGCACTGCAGCTCTGCGCCAACTGTGGGGCCCCCATCTCCACTGCTACAGTGTGCCCTGGGTGGGTGAAGTTGACAAATTTGGCAGCAAACCGCTTTCTCAGCCCGCTCCCCACCCAGAGGCCTGAGTCCAGGTGTGGTGGAGAGTGAGGGCGAGATGACTCCCAGAGAGGACATTGACAGGTTGACAAGCTGCTTGCCTGGCCCAGGGTTCAAAATCACAAGGTAAAGGCATAGGATAATCATAGCTGAAATTGGTTTTGAGAATTCTGAAACTACCAGCTGAGATGGATTTTAAGTGTGGTGTTGTGTACTGCATTTATCTCATCTGAAGGGCTTGACAGCTCCTAAGGAGATAAACACAGTTGGAAGATGTACTGGAAGAAGCGTGAGGCTGAGCACAAAGCAGTGCGGCTGGTGCTGGCATCGCTGGAGAAAAGACAACTCAGCTTTGAGACCCAACGTACTTGCTGGGCAGTTAATATTGTCCTGCTGGGCACAAAATGTCCCGGTGCCAAGGAATGGCATCCGTGGGTTATTTGGAAGATTCGGTGTCTACTGGCTAAGGACAGTAGACGTGGGGGCAGGCAGGTGTGCTGGAGAACACACAACCTCCTCCAGCCCCCAGGCCTCCATTAACGAGGTTTTGAGTTGCCGTTTGTTAATGGGACCAATAGATGCAGATCATTTGCTTTTCCAAGAGAGGCCAAAATGCTAGAATTTTATTTATATAAAACTGCTAATTTTTAAAATGTTGGCCACTAGCTCAGTTTTTGTATTTTGTTTGTTTCTTCATTTGGTTTAAGATTGAACAGGCCAAAGAATATGTGTCTCTGAGCCAAATTGAGCCCTTAGGCTTCCAATTTAGAACGTCTGCTTGAGAACAATTTTCTGTTTTAAAATATCAAAATCTAATGTATTTTAATTAAACAACCAGCTAGATAGCTATTATTTACTCCTCCTGTCTTACTATTTTAGGTTGAGCAAATTCACACGGTTAATAAGATTATTTAGTACTCATTATTTGTAAATTTAAAACCATATATCTATCTGTTAGTGCCCTAGGAAATGTGAATCAGAAAAAAATCCAGCAATAGACCAGTGGGGGTATATGTGTCTCTTCTAGACATGTGTCTGCACCTACTCTACCCAGACAGCTGCTCACCTCACCACCCCACTGATACGACAGTTCTGTGTGCCACCCCCAGGCCAGTAGAAATAGGGGATCCCCAAGCCCTCTCTTATTATTATCAGCATCATTATTACAACAGTGATAATAATTGCTTTAATTACTATTGTTGTCTATATATTATGCCACTCTGTCAAGAGTATTGTCTCGTGTAATTCTACAGTAGTCTTGAAAAGTAGGTGCTCACTTCTTTCAATTTCCAGATGAGGAAGCTGAGGCTAAGTCATTGAATCATGCAGAGAATTAGTAATGACAGATCAGGGAACGTAAGCTATTTTCCCAGAGGTTTTGTAGTTGTTTGACTCCATAGTTCAATGTGGGGGTGGACGGCATACACGCCTATACTTTTGCATTTTAAAAAAGGTTTTTTTGTTTTTTGTTTTTAAAAAGACTAGTCAAGTGTAGTAGTGAGGAGGGGAGAAGGTAGTAGAACAAAGAGTTCAATCTGTAACTGACTGTGAACAATCAAGTGAGATAACTCACTACCTTTGGACCAGCCTTAAAAAAGGTTTGTACTTGTAAAGGTGTGCAAGTAAAGTCTAACTTCCCTGGAGATACTAGAAACACTTCAAGACAAAACAAACCACAAAAAGGTGGGGAGAGAGGAGAAGAAGAGAAAGAAAAGAAACATCAAAGAGTTTCCTATTACGTTACTGTCTCATCTAATACTTCTTGGAAAGGAAAACTGAAAGGGGGGGCCGCCTGCTGCCTGAGAGCAGTTGGCATTAGTGGGGGCCTCATTTATGAATCAGCTCTCACAACTGCGCCTGCCTGAGGCACCAGTGTGGAAATGTCTTAGACGGATATTGGGGATTATTCGCTTGGGCTGATAAATTTTGTGAAGTGGAGATTCGAAAATCCGAGGAGCTTGGGTTAGAATGCAACAAGTGGGGAGGCACTTGGGCTGACCCAAATAGATGGAGCATAAAGTATCTTCAGACACAAGAAGGGCAGAAATATTGTGGCAAACCAAGAAATAAATATCTCCAGCCCGGCTTTCCTGGCCCGCAGAGAGAAGTGAGTCATGGAGGGTGCCAGAAGAGACATTTTCTCCCTGGTGGGCTCTGAGACCTTAGTTGACAGCCTCCACTTGGGTGGGAAATGAGTTGTGCATTAAGCACTGTTTCCAACAAAGATGATGCTGATTATTATCTCAAAACAGACCTTGGCAGTTCAATCTTAGAGCAGGACGTTTGGGTTTGTCGTTAAGATCTTAAATCCACAGCTTTACTGGTTGAGCCTAAATCTGCAGTTGGACACTCCCTCTGCTGTGCGTTCTCCTCTGCTCATGAGTATCTCCCGCTTTTCAAAGGAGCTGATTTCAGAGCTATTATACATCAGTGAGTGATTATGCTTGACTGAAACAAAATAAAGGGGGAGTTTTGTACGTCAATATGATTTTCCCGCATAGAGAAAATTTAAAATAGGACTAGAGAAGGTAAGGAACTTCAGCTAAAAAATGAGCAAGAATTTTCCCATACCTCATTTTTGTCTAGGTAAAATAGTCACTTAATAAATACGTACAAAGTGTTCACTGTGTCCTAAGAGCTATCCTGGAGTTCAATTATGAATAAGAAATAGTTTCTGCCTTTGGGTAACTTGACAGAAATCAAAAGTTTAGTGAAGTCAAGAAGTGAACTCCGTGGATAGCTACCTGTACAGTGTGTTGCACTAGGTTTTGGGGTGAGGTGTGAAATAGATCTAATTCTTATTCTGTTACTGACTTGCAGCCTTTTAAGCAAGCCCCTGGGCCTCGGATTCCTCTCTTGTAGAAGGCAGAATAACAACTTCTGCCTTTTAAATCTCAGGGATGTTGCGAGTATCACACGGAATAATGTCTGTGAAGCCTTTTGCAAGCCACCGAGCGCTAAACAGTGTCCGTCCTTAAGAAACCTGCTTTGAGGTCAGGGATAAAAGGCAGAGAAATGTAAAATGACCAGCAAAGACCCCTGGGTGATCCATGTTCAAATGTGAACTGTTTGGGGGTTGACTTTAATTGTCATTGTAAAGGAAAGCTAAAAATGGTATGGTTTGGTAAAAGTATGGATTTTTCAAAATATCTAGAAATTCAGTGTTTTATAGCAACTACGTGTGATTCACAGCTGCTGACACTGATGAAGTGAACATTCTTTACCACGAATCCAGAGCAAGGAATGCCCTGTTGGAATTCCCTCAAAGACAGTCTAGGGGCCTGTGCTTTGCATGCCCTACAGAATGTCAAAGGAACATTGGGGAGGGCGACCTGCCCCTCCTCCAATGTGTGTATCCGTGTCATGCGAAGGAACTCACCTAACACCTCAGAAAAGAATATCTCCCAACTTTGATTAACTACTCACCTTTAAATTTCAGAAAAGTTCTTGGATCTGTGCACATGTACAAATATGGTGATTGTCTAGCTTTTAATCTGACTCCACCTGCTGCAGGCAAGTGCGAATGGAACTTAAGGTACCTGGGAGAAAGTATGTGATTTATAACAGTTGTTTTCTACATATAAAGGGAAGTTCATTATAACTAATTTAATAGATCCAAGAGAATGTGCAAACATTTTATATTAATTTAGTAGCATCACAACCCTAGGAAAGAGATTATATGATTTACTATCTTTTAAGAAGATCAGGTGACTTGTTTAAATCATTGCACTTTTTGTGGATCCCACCATCCAAGGTTCAAAGCCCAAAGAGACTCCAGTTTGACTTCATCGTGGCTTATATTTTCAGTTTGTGAAGAGTAAATGGTTGGTCTTGAGACTCAGCCGGTCTCCAGGAGAAACAGGTTTCCATGGAAATCTCAAAGAGCACAAAAAACAAATGTAGAGATAGAAGAAGACAATTTTAGCTACAGAGTTCAGTTTCCATCAGGCCTGTCCTGATCTGTTGTAAGCCTGCCCAAGAGGACAAAAGTATCTTTGCGCACTAGACTAACAGCTGTCTCTCTTTTCTAGTGTTCTGTTTCCTGTGGTGGTGGAGTGCGGATTCGCAGTGTCACGTGTGCCAAGAACCATGATGAACCTTGCGATGTGACAAGGAAACCCAATAGCCGAGCTCTGTGTGGCCTCCAGCAGTGCCCATCTAGCCGAAGAGTGCTGAAACCCAGCAAAGGCACAATTGCCAATGGGAAAGATCTACCAACACCTGAGCAAGACCCCTTAAAGCCCACCTCTCCACCTCCACCCAGGCCCAGGGTGCTGACCACAGCCTCAGTGCCTGAGTCTGTGAGCACAAGTACTCCGGCAATTAGCAGCCCTAGTCCCAGCACAGCCTCCAAAGGGGGAGACCTGGATGGGAAACAGTGGCAGAATAGTTCAACCCAACCTGAACTGGACTCTCACGATCTCATTTCCACTGGAAGCACTGCCCAGCCCATCCTCACTTCCCAGTCTTTGAGCATCCAGCCACATAATGAAAATGTGTCCAATTCAGATACTGGTCCTACCTCAGAGGGAGACCTTTTAGCTACAACGACAAGTGGTGCTGACTTGTCATCTTCTAGCAACCCTGTGACTTGGCAGGTGACTCCATTTTACAATACCTTGACCAAAGATCCAGACATGGAGATTCACAGTGGCTCAGGCGAAGGCAGTGAACAACCTGAGAACAAAGAAGAAAACAACCCTGTAATATGGAACAAGATTAGAGTACCTGGAAATGATGCTCCAGTGGAAAGAAGTACAGAAATGCCACTTGGACCTCCACCGACACCTTATCTTGGGGGGCAGTCCTGGTGGCCACCCTTGAGCACAGCGATGGAGGGACTCCTTACAAGCCAAAGGCCCGGCATTCTCAAAAATGGGACACCCAGCATGGAGCGGGTGGATTCTGAGAAGCCAGCTAACACTCCACTCCCTCTGGGAGGAGACACCCAGCCAGTACCCTCAGAAAAGTCAGTAAACCATAACCACCTGGAACTTTCAAACAACATGAATCTAACACAGAGTTCTGGGCCAGTGCTGACTGAGGAGGATGCAACAAGTCTGATTGCTGAGGGCTTTTTGCTGAATGCCTCCAATTACAAGCAACTCACAAAGAGCCACAGCCCTGCACACTGGATTGTTGGAAATTGGAGTGAGGTAAGAGGTCCGATTTCCCACCCCAGGTCTGATTTTACACAGAAAATAGCTAGGTGTGTTAGATATCTGTGCAAATTTCAAAATGAACTTGCATTAAAATATAGTCTAATGTGGAAAAAAAAATGGAAGCAATCAGAACCATGCCCTCATCTCCCTCCCTACTATCTAACACCTCAAATGGAAAATATATATTAATACATATATAATATATATATGTATGTATGTATGTATCAAGTGAAAGAGAATAAATGTAATGAGATACAGTGAAAAGAACCCTGATCTAAGTCAAAAAGCCTGAATTAGGCCGGGCATCCCAGCACTCTGGGAGTCCAAGGCGGGAGGATTGCTTGAGGTCAAGAGTTCGAGACCAGCCTGAGCAAGAGTGAGACTCCATCTCGACTAAAAATATAAAAATTAGCCCAGTGTGGTGGTGCACTCCTGTAGTCCCAGCTACTTGGGAGGCTGAGGCAGGAGGATCCTTAAGCCCAGGAGTCTGAGGTTGCTGTGAGCTAGGCTGATGCCACGGAACTCTAGCCTGGGCAACAGAATAAGACTCTATCTCAAAAAAAAAAAGAAGAAGAAGCCTGAGTCAGTCGGCTGTGTGATTATGGAGAATTCAGTCCATCTTTCTGAGCCTGCTTTTTATCTTCAGAATGACAGGGCTAGTGTAGATCATCTCTAATGTCCCTCCAGCTATAAACTGCAATGATCCTGTGATGAAGGATGACTGAAAGAGCCTGAGTTCGCATTTCAGTCAGAAAGCTAATGTTGAGACTTAGTTTAAACCTGTGAAGTAGTCACAATTGGAATGGAGACCTAAGACGAAACTTGTTACAGAATTCTATAGCTCACTGTATCGATGATTTTTTTTCTTGTTGATGTGTTTGAGTGCTTGCATTAAAAAAAATTCATTTTGGCTCATTGAAGGAATTAAAATATAGAGGAAGAAGAAAATAAGCATGGTGACAAAATTTGGCCCTTATTTTCACGCTTCAGAAATTTGGATTTTTGTTTTTTTCTGACTACTAATATGGGTATTAAGTACATGACTTCTGTCTTTCCTAGAGATATTTGTTTTTCCTTTTCTAAAACTAATTGCATCCTTTGCAGCATCAAAATCATTTCTCACCTATTAGAATTTTAAATATACAGTGTGCAAACTTGTCAAAATAATACAACAACTCAAAAGACGACTTTGTGACAAAGTAATCACGTGTTCAAATCATTCAGCATCTTCATGACATTTCATAAAATCATCTCCCTAGCTAAAGAGAAGTGAAATATTAGCAGCTAATATAAAAATAATGATGCAATTATAACAATTTATAAAGCATGTTAATTTTCAAACCACTTTCACAGGTAATCTCCTATGTTTTCCTTTTGACAATTCTGGGGAGTAGGTAAGGGTCTCATTCATACCAATTTACAAGTAAAAAAAATAGGATTTTTATCAGTTAAGTGATTTGTCTAAGGACACACTCTTCAGTTGAATGATGAACTTTCTCTTTCCAATCTAATCTTCTCTCTAGTGAATTTCAGCACCAATTGACAACTTATCTGTATAAAATTCTTTCGTATAAATTAATCAGCATCATTGGTCATGGAATGATTATGTAGCAATAAGTAAGCAAACCTGTTAACTTAAAAAATTACACAATTATAAATTTGGAAAGGAGAGCTTTACTTCTTATAAAGGGTTGCATCCTGCAATGTGGCCATTCTGACAGGCTAGGAAGTGTAGCCTCCTGCAAAGACCAGAAACTGGCACTTTGAAGGAGGGAGGGGTAAGACGAGAATTTAAACTGAACAGGTTGGCCAAATACACATATTTGGTCAACAGGTCATAGGGTGAGCTATGAATATTCATGAAAGTGGTCCTGATGGATGCTTATTGGAAAAAAAATGCATGTTACATATGACCCATGTTCAATTTGGGATGGAGACTTATCATTTAAATGTATTACCATTAGGCCCCATATGTCAAAAGGTCTTTTCAGGACAAACTCAAAGTACTTAAGTGCACAGCTCAGACTGAGAACTCTGGCTCCAGCCCAGATGGGGCGTGTCCGAGAAAGTGGCCCTCAGTCTTTGTCTTCTCTCCCCTTCTTCCCCCCTGCAGTGTTCCACCACGTGTGGCCTGGGGGCCTACTGGAGGAGGGTAGAGTGCAGCACCCAGATGGACTCTGACTGCTCGGCCATCCAAAGACCTGACCCTGCTAAGAGATGCCACCTCCGCCCGTGCGCCGGCTGGAGAGTGGGAAACTGGAGCAAGGTAAGTTACCTGCTCCGTGGTGTCTTGGCTGGGGCAGGCAGGGGCATGGGGGCGGATCTTACATAAGCACTTGCTAAAGTTGGTTTCCTTCTTCCCTTCCTACCTTTCTGCCTCCCTTCTGCCTCTTTTCTTTCATAAAATCATGGATAAATCATAGGCATTACCATAGGCCTGCTTCAAGTTACACAAACATCTTAGAAGTACAGTTTTTATTAACACATGTTGTAACCCTCCTGTCCTTTCCCTTACCAGATAAACAAAATGTTAAATTTGCGTAATTAATTGCTTGTCCAGCATGCAACACTATTTCTAAATTACTTAAATTTAGCATTATGATGAATAATTATATATTATCACATATATAATTAAATCATGGCTCAGCTGCTCTTCACAAAGCAACTATGCGGTTGAATCTGCCAGACCCAAAATGAAAAGAAAGCTAAGATATAAAGAATAATTTGGTCTTTAAAAGTATATTCCCTGTACTGATCTTTCTGCAGTGCTATTTTACTGTCTTTGTTAATCTGACTGTGGTTATTCACCTTGCTGTGTGGTCTGCATAGTCCCTTTTGAAAAGGATATGTCAGGTTTTCAGATTAGTTAGCCTCGGTGCTTTGGGACACAGACCTGGCCCAATCTGCCTGTCACCCTGGACTGGCTGAAGCAAGTCCAAGGGGGATACTCCCGGGCTATAAGACACTGGTCAGTGGCAGGGCTGAGAGCCAGTTTGCAAGTAGGGAGTGCAGAGGTGTGAGCTGTGTATAAACCTGTTTGCTGCACGTGCCCAACCCGGGAAGCCCCGTAGGCCTCTCTCTGTGAGCCAGTTCCCCTCAATAGCTGAGATGTAGGAGAAGAGAAAAGAAAGGGCTACCCCAGAAGTTTAAGGAGGCCAGTGTCCCCTCTAGATGTTAGGTCCTGCATCTAGTAGAGAGCTCATGTCCCCAGACAGACAGGACCATGAGGTGCTGCACTGGATATCTCTGGTTCTCCTGGTAGACTGCCCATCAGACAGGAGCATAGGATGTCATTTATCTGTTTTAGGACCCTTTCCCCAAAGTAAGGCTCTGGTCTATGGGAAGAGAGATAATGTGGGGGGGGCTACTTGAGAAAATGACCACCTCCTATTCTCTGTTTCTATACGATTTTTCTTTCAAGAATGTTATTTCTCTTTCAACTCAACAAATCAGGATGCAATAAAGACTGAATACTTGGCCATAAATTCTCTTTCATATCCAGAAAAATCTCAAGAAACATCTCATATCCCTGACCTTGGCAAATGTTGACCAAGTCCTAAAGTTCCACTTTCTCCTCACTGGGAATAATCATTTGCTTGGAAATTACATGGCTCATAAAAAGCGTGAAATAGCTTGCACTTTGAAGAGGTCGGCTCCAGCCTGAGGGATTCTAGCTGGTGTCAAACCCTAGATGAGAGACTGGGGAGCTTGTCTCTGGGGTCAGGGCTCCTAAGGAAAACCCTGCGTGCCTCTTTCTCCCTCTCTCATGGCCTGCAGGGTTGCAGATATACTGATTAGCCACTGTAGCACCCCAAGTGGTTTCATAGAGCTGTCTCTGACATGTCATCACATTTTGCCAGAATGTGGTAACTGCCCCATCTAAAATCTAATTCCCAAAATCATTCCATCCCTACCAGTAAAGAAAATGTCTCTTCTACCAGGATGATAGATAAACCTTGTGTCAAAGACACTGTTCACTACTGATGGTCAATTGCCCTGATTTTTGTTTTTTTCTGACTACTAATAGGGGTATTAAGTACATGACTTCTGTCTTTCCTAGAGATATTAATTTAGATTTTATTTTGAATCTTGATTGTTGGGACTCCTTTTTGATTACCACATTGCTGAACAGTTCATATGGATGTCTGAAATCCAAATAGTTCACTAGGAAAAATTTGAGGGCCTTCCTTCTCAGCTTCACTGTTATGCCTTTTAAACTCTCATGGAGGCAAACCTCCAGATCTAGGGCAGGAAAATTGACCCCTGGTTTTACCTTTAAATATCCAGAGAGTTCAGATTCTGCCAAATTGACAATTTGCCTTTTCACAGATACTTTCTCAGAAAGAAGAATTCTAATTTTACCTTGAATCTTCCGCATTATCCCAGCAATCTCTACTCCAGATCCAGAGACACTTTAATTCTCATAGGACAACAGGGTATGTGGCAGCCTCACCTGAACCCACAGGTATCATATCTGAGGCATCTGGGTTACTCACCACTGTGGTTGCTGTCTGGATTGCAGTTGTTTTACTGATGGCTCTAATACCACTCTTCTCTTCAATGAAGCATGATACAACTGCTGTGAACATTTTCTCACATATATGAAAGAAGAATGAGACTGTATTTTGAGATCTCTACATTTACAATGTCTACAAATAGTTTATCACAATGGCTTGCTTCCTCTTCATGCATTAATCTGTCCAAAACAAAATCAGGGTTGTAGTCCTCGGGTTTGTCCCAGAGGCAGACTTGGGAAGATGCAGTTCTGCAGAATTAAATTCTAGAGGCAGCGCTGGGTTTGGAGTCAGACACATCTGGGTTGGCATCCCCACTCTGTCACTAATCAGTATGTGATGCTGGCCCATTCATCTAACCTCTTAGGAGCTTTAGTTTTCTCACCTCTGAAATGAACTGAATGATATCGATTCTCCTTACCTATTAGAGGTGTAAGGATCAAAAGAGAGCATGTGTGCAAAATAACTTTGTAATTGGTAAAAAAAAAAAAAAAAAAAAAAAAACCTGTTCAAACAAAGCCCTGGGCAAATGTTGAGCTCTGGGTAAAGGTTAGGGTTGGCTAAGAGGAATTCACCAGTCTCTGCCTTCCTGGAATTGGGGCAGGAGGCTTGTGGGCAGATTAGCTGAGTAACTCCCGTCAATGCAGCAATTGGCCCCAGAAGGTGTTCACTGCCCAGTACTAAGCAGGCAAGGGCTCCAGTGTCATGAACTCTGGTTGACCTACCATGGATGCTAGTACTACAGAAGCTTTTGATAAACAATTTTGTTTTTATCCCAGTGTAGGACTTTTATAATTTCCACTGGAGACACTAAGGCTTGAAGTGTTTAAATCACTATCATACACTTGATCATGAAGCTAGTACTGAATACTCTCAATTCTAATAGACTCATCAACTGGAGGATTATGCCATTATAATTAGAGCTTTTCAGAAAGAAATGAAACACTGTGCAATAAATATGTACATCAGTTGTAAGACACGTGCCAATTTCAGAATGTTAAAATTTTTAAGGGGGAGAAAGAAGTGGTTCTTGTAATAGAAGATACGCAGTGAGTCACAGTGAGCTTGGAAAACCCTCAGTTGGGTTTGACACCAAAACCATGCATCATCTGCAGCTCCACACACTTCCTGAACATTCTGTCTGTCCCTCTGAAGTTTTGAGAACTGCTTATTTGACAACCCTTTTATTATCTTTCTTAGAATGAGCATTGCCCTTTTCATAGGTAAGTCTAATAGAGCTTTATTATTTCTGAAATAAACGAGAAAGATTTTTACATTTTTTTCTTGAAATGATCTGTCTTCCCACATAGGCAATGTTGCAATTTTATTTTACCAGTTGACTATATCTGCTAGAAAATATAATAAGAGGAAGCGACAGCCTTTCCTTATGGCCTTGGGTTTCATATATTTTCTAACTAGTCTTCTGTCTTATTGTAGTTCTCGTCTCCAAGTTTACTGAATTTTACAGATTCTCTATGGCAGTGCTACATTTTATAGATCTGGATTTTTACAGATAAATAAAATGAGGAAATAGCCCCTATTTTGCTAAATACAGACAGTCCCTTACTCTCATACCTAGTCTAGAAATATATATTAAAGTTCAGTATGTAAAAGTGAAAACCTAGAATTGCATATTATAGGGGAGCTTCTGTCTCCAGAAGGCAAAAATTGAGTAGCAGAAAGGTGAACCATACACTGAAATTCCAGTCAGGGGTGGGGAACCTGCAGCCTTCCTATTTCAAGATTATTCTTTTGTAAGCACCATAAAAGGCAAGAAATGCTTCATCTTTCTCTGATGCACCCCTTTTAATAAAAGGATTTGTTCTGTAAAATTGTGATTCAGTCAAAAGGCTGCACTCAAGGATCCAGAAGGCCACATGTGGCCCCAAGGCTACAGGTTCCCCACCACTCATCAAGTGTTTCAGATTAAGAGATCCCTAAGAAGAAATGTTTAGGGGAATGGCAATTAAATGGAAGCCTTTAGGACCACAGAAAGCATGACACCAAGACTGCCAACATCCAGACTCTCCCGGGTGGTCTTGGCCCATCCTCTCTGTCCACCCCTACCCTGCAGTAGCGTTCTGACCAACTCACTGTCCCCAGACAAGCCGTGTTGGTTCACAGCACCATGAATTCCACTCTCTCCACTTCGAATGTCCCCCACCCTATTTTTCCCAGCCACCTGAGCATCCACTCAACTTCTAAGATTCAGCTCGAGCTTTGACTCCTTCATTCAAACCTTTCTTGACTTCTTCAGGTGAAATTGCCCACCTCCTGTTTGTGCCCTCACTAGATCATGAACAACTGTGGCATATAACCTTTATTGCTTCTCCGCATGTTTGTGACTCCCTTGCCCCACCAGACTGCACACCCCTCAGGGTGGAGATACAGAGCTTGGGACATAGGAATTGCTCAGTAACTGGGGGGAAGGGAAGTGGAGCCGGGGAGAGGGACAGACAGATGAATTTTGGTGCTGTTCGGCTTAGAATTTTTGCAATGAATTATTTGATTTTAAGGGCCTTGTGAATGTGTTTAGCATAGGGAAAATAGCTGAAAGGAATTCTTTCTGTATCCTGGTTTAGAATTTGGCATGTGACTTTGAAAGCAAGAAAGTATTCTGAAATCAAAACAATACAAATCCAGTGATCCCGTATGCTTATGACACTTCAGAATGTTGGGATAGTTCAAGCATCTAGTTTATCCTCATTTTAATCTTGAGAGAAAAATGGAGGCTTGGAGAAATGAAGTGATTTATCCATGGTTGCACAGCCACCTAGTGCCAGGTCACAGATGAATGTGGTCTGTTGACCTCCCAGCCCTATGTTCGTTAATGGCACTATAATTATCTGAACATGGAAAGTGTATCAGGATGACTTCATAAATAAAAAATAACACAAGAAAGAAAAGGTGATGATTTCATTCTGTCCCTTCGAGTAGCTCCTATAAGCTAAGGGTATTTTTCATTCTACCTCAATTTGGTTTGCAAGTTACATCAGTTAAACTGTTGTGGTAACTGAAAAACTATCAGGCCCGTTTGGTTTCAACAGGGCCTTAGCCATTCTTTCGTTCTCATTAGCCTGGCTCCTGTTCTAGGGCTGGTTCGCAGGCTCCAGGTTAGGAATACAGGAATACAGATGATTCTTCTCTAGGACAATAAGACGATGAATATAACAATTGCCATTCAGCACACAAGAGCAAAACAGCATTAGTAGTGGAGTGATTTAATATGTTGCCACTTCCCTCTTAGTAACTGAATCAGAGGCCCTTTTGAAAATGCAATAGAAAAATTATAGATTTAATGAGAGTCTTCCCTTATTACTGACTTCAGCATATTAATAAATTTCATTTCCCATTGAATGTGAATATGCTTTTGACAGATGAGTAATGCTAATTTGAAAATGAAATTTAGGAATACTGGATTATAGCAACAAATGGAAAATTAGAAAATAAAACCCCACTTTACACTTCTGTCTTATAAAATTCCCTTTTCCTAATAAAGAGCCCTCTTGTTTTAACTAGGAACTATTTCCCAGAAATTTATTTTGTCAGACAAATAGCTGCTTTGGGTGGAAATTATTAGCATGCTTTTTCATTTGTTCTGTAGTTAATTTTAAGTTCACAGTTACTTTTTTTTCTCTCTGCGTGCTTACTGTGTGGCAGGGAAATGCAGTTTTCAATTTGTATTTCCGGGGAGCTGTCTGGAAAATGTTGCGTGTTTCTGAGAAGCGAAACACCTTGTTTATGGAAGCATCAGAGCATCCGTCTGCTCCCTTGTGCCCTGGGCCCGTGTCTTTCCATGTTACAGACCAAGGTTTGAAGTCGGGTGACTTGGCACAATCTGCCGGTCAGCAGAAGGAGGAGGAGCAATATTTTGGGATCTGCTTCTACTGAAAGGTCTTGAGGAATTTTCCTTCCTCAGCTACAACTGTATAATTATGACTATCACACTATAGCCAGAAAGAGCAGGATCTTTTACCCTGCAGAGAGGAAAGCCAATTGGGAACATACCTCACTGCCATGGACACTCTTTCTTGGTGGCCCATTTTCTCAACCCAGACTGCCAATAAGATGACTGATGGAGGCACCTCAGGGTAAAGGAAGACACTCTCCATTCTGTGGTCACCAGAGAGCTCTTTAACCCAGGGGGAGCCCTGCTAGCTGCATTTCCTCATGATCACGCCTGCCCCTGGGCGGGGTGCTCAGGATAGGATGTGCCACAGGGCAGGCCAGGCTCCGCCTTCCTGGCAGTGACAGTCTAATAGAAAGGATGCACAAAATGAGTAAAAGTTGTTTTACATTTCAAGTTTCTGTGATGGAAACAGAGAAGGAGCTGACACAAATAACAAGGGGAGGCACCTCCTTTAGATGGAGTGTTCAAGGACCCCCTTTCTGGGGAGGTGCCACTCAGGCTGAGGCCTGAAGGAAGAGCAGTAGCAGGTAATGCAGAGAGTAGAGGCAGGGACGTTCAGGACTTAAGGCCCACAGGGACACAGTGTTGGCCCAAGGAGAATCTGAGGCAGAGTCTGGGCTGGCAGGCGGGTGTCTGCCTCCATCCCACCTGCCTTGGGGCCCCTCCTGAGTGTGGGCAGCGACAAGACAGGTCAGGTCAGGCCAGGCCTGGCTGTGAGACACCTGGATGCAGACAGAAGAGAAGCTGAAGGGACCTGGCAGGAACTAGAGTTCTGAACAGACTAGAGACCAAGTCCTGGAAGCTCAAGTTGTGATCAAATAAAATCTATATAGGTGGGGGACGGGGTAGCTGCTGAAATCCAAGAGACCAGAGAGTAAAGAAAAGCAGCATTTGCCAGAACAGGCCATGCAAACTCTGTAGGTGACCCAGGCCCATCAGTGTCTATCGCGGTCCAAAGGAAGCCGCAGCCCGCTGGTGAACTGTGCCGTGTCCTGACGCAGAGCAGGACACAGGGACTATACACAAGGAGTTGATGGGGAGAGGGAGTTAGCAGGGCCTGTTTAATGGATTTCGGTGTGCGTGTGCCAAGAAAACGCTCAGCGATAGAGCACGTGACAGTGAGTGTGGGAGGCAGGGTGACAGCAGGGTCACAGACAGGGTTCACTCACTCCTGTGAGTCACACCACTGAGCGGTTATTCAGTTTATTTCACTATTACAGACCGTTCCTTAGAGACATAGTAACCTAGTGTGCACTCAGCATCATGGAGAAAACCAGTTTTTAGCGGGATTCTAACTGAGGGATGGAGGAGGCCTGGCAGAGAGCTCCCCTGTTGGGATCTGAGAGGCCCCATCCTAAGAAGCGGCGAGCAGGCCGGTTGCCTCTCAATGCCTGCAGACTTCCAGGGACAGTGGCCACCATGAAGACAGGCACTGTGCCAACAGGCGCTCCAGCCCCGTGTCTACAATCTTCCCAGCAGCTGTGACCTAACACAATCCCAGTTTACAGATGGGACTCCTGAGGCTCAGAGTGTTTTCTGCGACTTGCCCAGGGGCTTGTGACTGATGAACGACAGGACTGGGATTCTCACCCACCTCTGTCAGACATCAAAACCCTCACACTTGCTCATGTGTTTTCTGACACTGGGAGCCCCATCTCAGGGAGCTGCTTGTGTGACTCCCTCCCCACCATGTGGGAGGGAAGCAAGGTTCACTTGAGCTAGACCTAACCCCTCTTCCTGACCGGAAGGCTGGAACCTCCATGACTGACAGGAATGGAAGGCTGATGCCCAGGACTCAGGGATCACCTCTGCTTTTGCTCTCCACACAGTGCTCCAGAAACTGCAGCGGGGGCCTCAAGATCCGCGAGATTCAGTGCGTGGACAGCCAAGACCGCCGGAGCCTGAGGCCGTTTCACTGCCAGTTCCTGGCCGGCGTTCCTCCCCCCATGAGCATGAGCTGTAACCCTGAGCCCTGTGAGGAGTGGCAGGGGGAGCCCTGGAGTCAGGTACGGCCCCTAGAGGGAGGTGATAAGCCCTCGCGCAACCTGGCCAATCACGAATCTCTGTGTTGCTGCGTCGTGCCAGTGACTGGCCTGCGTTCAGTGACCCCACACTGTCTGGGGAAAGCTAAGCAAGTCAAACATTTTCAGGAGCTGAAAGAATTCCTCTGAGAAGACAGTGTTGTCTGGTTTCAATCGTGACAGTTCAGTGTTGTATTACGGCCTGGTCTCCCAATGCATATATTGGGGAATTGGGGTCCCTGCTGGGAAAATGAACACAATGGGATGATTTAAACAAGGGCCCCTTTGATGAAAGCCATTTCGGACAGAGCCTGACATGCCTCTCTGAGGCTTCTGCAGTCAGGCTGGGGGAAATGGTCACATCCTTTCCATACACAGTATCATTTTAGAGTTCCGTGTCTCAGTTACATGCCCAGATCATAGTTTGCACGAATAAAAAGAGTCTGTGTGTGTCCTCTCTTTTGTGAGGGCCCTAGTTCTGCTGGGTCTTTGTTCTACTTTGGCACATGGAAACAAGGTTATGTCCTTTGGTAAAGTGTGATGACCTCATTTTTCAACAGACAAATGTTTTAATAACTAAAACATACTCCAACTACATCCATGTATGTTGGAAAGAAGACCAAAAAAAAAAAAAAGAAAGAAAGAAAAAGAAGAGTCTAGCATATTCTGAGTGAGTCCATGGGTTAGGCACTTTGCTTACAATACTTGATGTAATTCTCTCAATGACCCACTGGGTGGTAGGCCTTATTGATTCCATTTAATAGGTGAAGAAATTGAGACCTAAAGAGGTTGAGAAACCTATCTGAGACACTCAACTAGACAATAAACAGTGGAGTACTAATTCAAACATAAGGCAGACTCCAATACCTGTGCTCTTTCTACTACAGAAGCTAGCCAATGGGCACTGCGCAGGGTGAACTGAGGCATGTACCATGTGCCAGGGAAGGGTCGGTAGAGAATCCCTGCCTGAAGATGCAGAGTTAGCGTTGAAGCCAATGGAAGGCTGAGCCCTGAGCTACTTACAGGTCAAGCATCCATGCTGATTTCTGAGGCTCTGGACAACCACCTGTTTTTTGGGGCAGCAGCCACCAGTGTCCCCTCTTCCTCCTCCTTCCCCTGCCCAGCTCTGGAGTACATGAGATGCCTGCTACTCCCATGCTCGGGACCCAGGCTGCCAAGCTCTCCATATATGCTCAGCCTGGCCTGGACCGGTTCAGGTGATGGCTTCCAGAATCCAGGAATTCACAGAGGAGCTTAAATTACCTTGTCAGAGAAATAGCAGTTGCAGGTTATCACAGATAACCAATCAAATCTCCTTTCTGCTTATGAGAAAGATACATTCTTTATGCTTCCTCAGTAGCTTCTGGAAGCCCCAACATGAGCCTGTTCCCTGAAGCCCTTTCATCACCCTCCTTTCTAAATTGCTCTGTTCTGAGCAAACCACAAAGTTGGCCAACTTTGTGAAAGTCAGTTGAGTACCTGGAGCTGCTGTTGAAGGATTGGCATCCTTAGGTACTTCCCTAGCCCACCATGATGCTGCTGCCTATGCACACTCTCTAATGGACTGCCATCCCAGGAATGTTCTGGACCCTTTCAGTAAATGTCAGCCAGCCCAGACTACCTTCATGGCAGTTGCATTTTAGCTGTTAGAACATGTCTACACCAGCAGTGGTCAAACTTTAGCTTGCTTCAGGATCACCTGGAGGGCTTGTGGATGGGTGGGCCCCACTCCCAGAGTGTCCAGTCCAAGGTCTGGGGTGGAGTCTGAAATTTTGCATTTCTGACAAGGACATAGAAGATGCCAAAGTTGCCAGTCTGAGGACCACACTTTGAGAACCACTGTCCTACACTTTCCTTACCCCCTTGTCTTGGAGATTACTTGGCCAGGTGGTTTTGAAGCTATATACATACACATGCATTCCTCTCTCTCTCTTCTCAGATAGGATTAAAAACAGATTGAATAAATGGGAAAAAATCCACATTGATTCTCAAATCTTGAAAATTGTGAAGGCAATACATTAGTACTTTTATTGAGTACAAAAGGTTAATTGTGCATAGTTTCCCTGTTTTTTATGGTACCACACACATAGTGCCTGATATGATGGGCGTGAAGCTCACAGGACAATCATAATTGTTTTTTTGTTGTTATTGTAACCATGTGGTAATGAAGATTTCTCAAAGTGCTTTTCAAAGTACTCAGAGGACTTTTCAAAGATTCTTGGTGAATTATTTAATTTCCTCCTAGAAACCTCATGAAAATGAAACAATATATTATAAAATTGTTCCTGTGAACAAAAATCTGACGTGTTTTAGAATTATATCCCTTTAGGAATCCAACTTGTCATCAGAGCACTACTTGTCATTGTGAGCACTACGGCTCACAATGCATCAGAATCCCAAGCTAATCCATCAATTCCACTACTCCTAATATGGACAAATTTAATTGTAAAACTTTTATGTAGTGGAAAGGGAAGACAATCCCACTTCAATAGGAGGCAAACAAAATTGTGTTGCAAATGTGTGCTCCTCTTTTGGGCTGTCAGAGATAATCACTATAAAAATATCTAAATTTTATATTTTTGTTTCTAGACACTTGTGCCAGAAGCCAAAATGCAGATAACGTAATATCCATTCTGGAGTGACCACTCCTTTAAGTTTTTAACCCGAATTCCTTCCTTTTGACATAGTGTTTGACATTGGACTATTTGGCATCTTCTGATTTTTCTCTTCTTATCCTCAAGAAATTCTTCATCAACCTTCCTCCCTCTCTTTAATTCTTGTGTCACTATTGTTGCTTTAAATAACTAGAGTGGTCATTTTAAGGAACCTGCAAGGATGCTACAGATTCCAATATGGAGACCAATACTCCTAACAACACTGCACACAACAAAGTGATAGTAAAAAGTTCTTCCCTTATCACTGAACATGTCACCACCTGTGTTTTACCTATCCTTATCATTAGCATATATTAGTGTTCCAGGTCCTGTGGAGGTGGAGTTCAGGAGAGAGGAGTGTCTTGTCCAGGTGGCCTCTGTGACTGGACAAAAAGGCCCACATCCACCATGCCCTGCAATGAGCACCTTTGCTGTCACTGGGCCACTGGGAAATGGGACCAGGTAAGACTTGGTTATAGATGCTCCCTTTTACTTTAGCTTTAAAAAGAAAATAATATTCATTTTCTTTTGATTATAAAGTAATATATATTCATCGTAAATGTTCAATGTCTGCATTGATTTACAGTGTGTTTCTATACATTAATACTTTAGTTGTAGTATTCTTCTGCCCACTAATATCTTTAAGTCTGCTAAAAGTTGACTCATAGCTACTGTGGGTCAGTGTTTACGGTCTCAAGTTCAGAAGAGAAATGATCAAACACTTTCAAAAGAGAAAAGATCAAATACCAAAATTATTCCAGAGGCACAAAGCCTAAGGAAATGCTATTTTGCACTCCAACATCTTAGATCCTCTGGCTTTTCCTAGAGCAAAAAGGATTTGCCTATGTCCTGAAGCTTTAGGCTGAGTCTGACTTAGTGAGTTTGAGGCCTCCTTCCAGCCCAGAGATCAGTTTGCCAAATGGCCAGCCTGTTTGATGGAGAGATAAACAAACTAATTAAACTGTAAATAAGGTAAAGAGTTATTATTCTCCCAAAGTTTTTTATTGCATAAATAACACTGTATCAATGATACTGAAAATAAAGAAAATTCTCCCATAGACAGATTCTGCCATCATTCTGACTTGTCTTATTTTGGGTTCTCTAGAAAATAGAGTCTTGAGATAAAATTTGACACTGTATTAGGAAATTCAATGCCAGGGAAGCAGGAGTGATAGAAAAGAGAAAGGAGGCAGGGAAGGGAATCAAATATGCAGTGGTGCATTACCAGACTGATTATTTTGCTAAATGCCCATTGCTTGGTGTCAGGAGCAACTGATTGCCGGCACTCACGGGCGGGTCTTCTGAAAGCTGTGTGAGTTACTGCCTCTTACGGCAGTTTATCTAGGGGTGTGAAGGGAGAAGAGTTATCTACTGGCTCCTGTCTCTCTTTGGTAAAGAATCTCCCCATGGAGAGCTAATGTCCCCGTACTTCTGGGTTGTCCACATGTGAGCACTGCGCGGGTCTCATCTTGTCTCATGTCTCATTGGCAACAAGAAAGCCCAGCCAGGACATGAGAGGCACGAGGCTTGGGCATGAGGTGCATGTCACCAGGCTGTGCTTCAGGAACTTGGCTGCCACCTCAGCTGGGACAGATCATAGGGCCAGAAACTGGGAAACAGCAGAGCCAAGAGGATCTGATACACTAACACCTCGATTATTAACATTTTTATAAAGTAACTCTTTCCTGTGCACTTGTATTTTGATTTTTAGAACTGTATTTTGATGGCTGTAATTAGAACACAAGCCAATGAAGTACTTTTCCCAACATAATGCCCCAGATATTTTTAGGTTGCTATATTCTTAGTAATTCTCTTTGTTCATAGGTGCATAGTCGCACGGCCATAATTAACTTGAATGCTGGTTCAAACTGGCAGTCCATTGGCAGTCAGACACATGAGGCACAATAGGTTTGAACCTAACACTATGTTCACTTAGCTGTGTGGAGCACACAAACAGTCATCATATTAGACACAACAGCCTCATCTCTGCAGGAGGCTGCTACCCAAGGACAGTTCATTTGCTTCCTTGACTGGTTCAGGGTAATACGGTTGGCAAGGACTGAGAGCCAAGGTGCACACAGATCACCCTGACCCAAAGAAGCCTCAGCCTTAGGTTCCTGCAAATATTTAAAACTGCTTTGGTCACACATGCCCAAGGCCACATACCAACTCACAGGCCCCCACTAGGGGAGAGTCCTATACATTCGGAATTTCCCAGTGGACAAGGAGTAACTTTCCATATTTACCTTAACTCTGTACCTCCTCAAAAAAACATACTTAAAGATCATTTTCTCCCCAAGTAGACTGAACCAGGTCTTTTATTCACAATAATATTCCATCAAGTTGATTGACCATAATTACTTAACCATGGCCCCTTTGTTAGAGCATCTATCTGTGGGCACCCGTTAAATAGTTATCTAATTAATATCACTGCCACAGCAAGATTTGAGTGCCATAGTCTAGCCATAAGCTTCACAAAATTAGTTATTAACATCAAGGAAGCTCACTGATCAAGATAGCAGCAGGCTTCTCCACCCGTATGGGCCAAGCAGAGGCTATGCTTACTCCTGGCAGGTGTTTGCCCCAGCCACCTGGGTGTGTTTCAGGACTAGGCTCTTCATAAGTACCTCAGAGCCCTGCATAAATACATAAGTATCACTAATCTAACCAGATATGACCTCTAGAAGAGAAAATCGGATACAATATGAAGTCATGAAAATGCTATAAATTTGCATCCATTCGGGGACACAAAATCTCATGGAAGATTAAAACCACAAATGAATATTTTTAAATCTTACCATCAATTCCCTGAAGGAGTTAGAGGCGCCAGTCTATTGGAGGTGGCCATGGGTTGAAGTTTCCCTAGAAGAACCACGTGTCAAGAATTCATCAATTGTGCATTGCGAAGAATGAGGGGCGGGAATGGCCAACACCTGCCAACCCAGCCTTGGGAATCACTCCTGACCACCATGATCTATTATTAAGTGAAAAAGACAAGCTTTGGATTGAACGTACACATCTGCCTCTGTTCCCAAAACTCCACTAAATAAGCAGAAGGGATAAAATACCAAAAGTTGTACAAATCCACAAAGACAAAGATGGGGGTAGGAGATGACAGCTGAGAGAGGAGTCAATAAAACTCTGGAAGCTGGAAACAGACGACTAAACTTCCAATGGACTTAGCATGCCAGAGAAAGCTAAAATCTGTCTGTTGCAGGGATGCCAAGAAGCGAACAGATTGCAGAGGTGAGGGTGGAGGGTTGGTTGGAAGTTTGTAAGAGAAGCAGATTCTCTCCTATGTCCCAACAATCTCCCAACTGTAGCCTGGAACTCTTTTCTCTGAATGGTAACCCAAAGACACCCTAGAATCAGACACAGCAGGTGAGAATAAAAGGGCTTATCTCTCAGATAAGCAAGTGAAAGTATACACAGTAAGTAGTATGATATCCCCTTTCCCTCGTGGAGCTGCACAGAGGCAGAGGACTAGCTTAGTCTCTAGAGAAAAAAAAAAGAAATCCTACATAACAGATCTCCTCCTAATCACTCTATATAAAACCTTTTCTCAATAATTCACTTCTCAAGAAGCCACCCATGAAGCTCTCAATAAGATCTTAAGTGTCTCATTCTGAAATATAAACAAGAGCCTAGGATTGCCAAACATTCAAGAAAACCCCTCCCACCAAAGGCAAAATAACAAAACAAACAGCACAAAAGGAACTCTGAGGAAAGAGAGGCCGTGCAAGAAATAGATGAACTCCTCCCAAAAAACTATAGTTAATGTCTTCAGAGAAATGAGAGACTACATTCATGACATAGAACAAGAAGCTATGCAAAAGGAATATTCAAGAATAGGAGATGTTAGAAAATTTTTTAAAAATAGATAAGGACATCTGCACCCGAATGTTTATGGCAGCACAATTCACTATTGCAAGAATGTGGAAACAACCCAAGTGCCCGTCAATCCATGAGTGGAT